GAGAGAGAGAGAGAGAGAGAGAGAGAGAGAGAGAGAGAGAGAGAGAGCAAACAAATAGTCCTTTGACATTGATCAGAGAACCCTTGCAGGTAATCCAAAAGGGCCCTGCAAATATCTAAATTTCTCAAACACATTGCAGGGCAGTAGCACTACATATGGTGTAGATCTGCATTGAGGTCCGTGTTTCAGCAGTTATGGGACCACTGAGCACGTGATTATCTGGGCAGTAGCAGGCCAAGTCACCACGTGATTTTCAGGGATCCCCTCCACTACTCACCAAATGTGCAAAACTAGAATGAATCTTCTGCTAGAACATGGAATCATACGCCGTCATATGTTTTGTCTTTTGTGCAAGTGGTGAAGAGTGGAGCCAGGCCCTTAGGGCCACTGCTCGTAGGAAAAGGAAAACAAAAGAAAGAGAGAGCTACAGTAGTTGGTTGTAGCCCATAGCTGCTGGAACACAAACCCGACTTTGGATCAAGAAGATATATTGCTGGCCTGCTCCTCTCTTGCCTGAAATTCGACGAATGTCTCTGGTGAGACATTAGAGCCCTGCAAATTCTCTGCTGGGGGAATGGGCGGCCCCAATTGTTTTTCCTGTGCCCTTAGAATTTGTAGAAGGGACGGGCACTTTTGGCTACCTCAGCCAGCACCCTCGTTACCCCCCCCCTCCAATACCCCTTATAACTCCCCCATACTCCCTTGTACCCCCCCCGACCTCCCACGGCGCCCCCCCCCTCCCCCCGGCATCCCTAAAAGTTCCTCAGCAGATTGGGGCTGTACTGCGTACTCAGCAAGCGCAGTACAGCCCCCAACTCAGATTTGATCAGTGGATGGCTGTTTTCTGACTGATCGGCAGACCGCTGACCGGTCAGCCTTACTGGTTGGCTGCAAAACGGTCAGCGGTCGGGGTCGGCGGTCGGCAGTCGTGCAACCCTGGTTTGCGCTTCAACTTGATGGCAATTTTTTTTTTCCCGCCTCTTTGGTGAAGTTTTCAAAAGGGGCCTGTCCCTGAGCTAATTCTACTCATCTGATTTCATCAGGACAAATGTGGGTACCATTCCCAATTCACACACATGGACTGGGTTGTTTTGCGCTAATCTCACTGCATAGTTAGGAATGTTTGAGACTTTGAGTTCAATATGATTATCACAAATGGGGTCCTTAAACCATCAGTACTTTTCTCAGCTATCTATCCTGAGCCTAAAACTGCCCTGCGCGCCAAAAACAAACGAACCGGTGTGGGCCTCATTTTTGCGGGTGCCACCAGGCATTTTGTGCCGGTAGTCCCGATCCTGCCTGCCTCCCGTGTTAAACCACCAGTAAATGGGCCCCTGGGCCGCGGGTACGACACCTCAAATTCTGGAGGCGCGGAGCGAAAACGGGGCCGCCGATCAAATTTCTCAACGGCGGGCCCAAGGTTTGACATTTCGGCCTCGTTTTCTTGTGGCGACAAGTTTCGGACTGCAAGGCTGGGGCCGTGTACTCGTGGTTTTACCGGCGGGCATTTGGTTTTCAAGCAGGGAAAGGTACTGGTGGTTTAACAGCTTGCGCCAAACAGTAAGGCCTGTGTTTGTCTTAGGCTCTTAGCAGTATCAGGAATGTGGCAAATGGATGGCCGTCTCCTTTGGACTGT